CCACCTCCGCCTTTCCCTGTTGTCCGCCTTCGTGGTCTTCCTTTTGACTGCACAGAAACTGATGTGGCCGAGTTCTTTCGTGGTTTGGACATAGTTGATGTTCTTTTTGTTCACAAGGGTGGCAAGTTCACTGGTGAAGCTTTTTGTGTTTTGGGGTATCCTCTTCAAGTTGATTTTGCACTTCAAAAGAACAGGCAGAACATGGGCAGGAGATATGTTGAGGTTTTTCGGAGCAAGAGGCAGGATTATTACAAAGCAATAGCAAATGAAGTTTCAGAATCTCGTGGTTCACCACGACGAAATATCTCTAGGGCTAAATCCTACGATGAGGGAAAGGACTTAGCCGAACATACAGGGGTATTACGATTGAGGGGGCTGCCATTTTCAGCTGGCAAGGATGACATAATGGAATTCTTTAAAGATTTTGTTTTATCTGAAGATTCGCTTCATATTACGATGAATTCAGAGGGTAGGCCAACTGGGGAAGCCTTTGTGGAGTTTGCAAATGCAGAAGATTCTAAAGCAGCGATGGCCAAAGATAGGATGACTCTTGGGAGTCGTTATATAGAGCTGTTTCCCTCATCAGTGGAGGAGTTGGATGAAGCAGTTTCAAGAGGCCGGTGACTCATTCTTATTATACATCTGCTTATATCCGGTATTTTGTACCAGAAATCTTTAACCTTGCCTTGTTGTTTTAAATTTTGCTTTACAAGTTTTTCCCTAATAAGACTACATGTTTGTTGTTTTGAGCTGTTTATCTTAGGATTCCACTTATGAATATATTCATATCTAGTCAGATTGGTATTCTAATATCGTGTATTGATCAAGCGTGTAACTTCATTGGTTTTTAAAGCTTTTGATACCACCTTTGAAGAAGACTGGTTTAAAGGAGGTTTCCTAGGAAAATATAGGTGCTATTTTGAAGGGCTGATGACTATTCTTCCAGAGTGTGATTGGCTATTCCAAAAACGGTGTGGATTGTGGAATTTGTTGGAATATGGCTACATCAATTGCATTTCAGTGCTGTGATTCTCGGTACAAGTTTCCTTTTTCTTATTGCATGTCTTGTAGAAGTGAAGAAAGGCAGCATATCATTGTCACTGGAGAATTCAACTCTTGCTTTTACTGTCATAATTGTTGCATGTCAAGTAATGTATTTAATTTCTTGCACCTGTTTCCTGTAGCAAATATTCTAGTTGATGAATAGGTTTTTCTCTCGTCGATTTGACTTGAAGTACCAGTTTCCTGAGATCTAACCCGAGATTTCAACACGCATAAAAGCACGTCCAGACTCTGGACTGCATGGACCTCTTTGGATCAAGATATATGTATTTGTTCCGTGACAGATAAAACTAAAACTCCCTTCTCTTTTAACCATCCAAACTTGCATCGTTTATTTCCACTCCTTCATAATCCCGCTGTTTAATTCTTAGCACGTACTCCTTACTCGTGTGAGCTAGGAACTGGAAAAGGAGTGGAAATTACATGCACAGGGACCGAGGCGGCACTTTTGGCTGAGCGATTCACGGCAATAATTTTTGCTGCTTTTGAGAGGATATGAAGGATAAAGCAAAACCTGGATTTCGACGCTAAAAGGGTACTTTCTTGGTGCTAAAACCGAGTAATCCTCCTTGACAGGCAAAAAATATACTGCCAACGTCCAATCAGGCTCCAAAAGATTCGTGTATTGAAACTTGGGCAGCCAGGAGAGAATGCCATGCAGAGAAGATGACAGAAATGTGGAAACAAGCTCCTCGTCCTGGCTATATTCAAAGCAAATTCTTAATCTAAAGTGGTATTTGTTACCTAATTTTGGACCTGATGCATTCTCGATATAAAACCAAGTACTAGTTTGTTTAAACCAATGCACGAGCTACATGATTCGAGTGTTCTTCCCCATCTTTAATTTATCCACATCTTGAAAGTTAATAGAACTTATCCTCCTTTTGTTTTGAGAAGAATCAAACTCAAAGGCTAGTTTTTTGTTTTTTTTTTCTGGTAAAACTAAAGAAGAATCAAACTCAAAGGCTAGTTTTTTTTTTTTCTGGTAAAACTAGCTAAGAAGCTATATAATGAAACACCTGACAATGGAGGTAAGAATCATGAATTCAAGCTTCATAAATTCGATTGTCTGTAATTGATGAGGGGTAATTATGGGAATTTCCCTAATTGTCTGTCCTTGTTTTTATCAGATTTTCACTGTTTCATTCCTTGCGAGAAAACTTGTATTTTCACCGGCAATCAGCAGGACATTTCACTGCTATAGCTCCAGTCTGATTCTGCGTTTTGTATTCAAGTGCCGTTGGCCGGAAATCCGGACAGAGAGCAGTAAAAATTACATAGGATTCTATTGTCAAGGAGTAGTTGTGTGCGTGCGTGTATCTGAATATACAAACAAAACTTCTACTTGAATTATGTTATAAACTAATCAACTCATGCTTAATTAATTAAAAGAAGGAAAAAAAAAAAAGCATGACACGATGAATCGGTGAACAGATCACAGGTTAATCACATGGACGAAACTACATATTTTACTCCCATATATATCTCCCAGAATATCTTATTTTATCAATTTCTAGATTGAAATTTAAGATATTTTTATTAAGTATATGTTTGTTTTTATATTTTTTTAAATTTTTTTATATCGTTTTAGTGTATTAAGGTTAAAAATAAATTTAAAAAAATAAAAAAAATATATTATTTTAATATAAATTCCAACAAAAAAATATTTTGAAAAACTATCACTACCTAATAATATATTAAGATTACATGAATGAATAAAAGAGGCAAATTTAGATTGAACTACAACAAGTAGAATTGAAAACAAAAGAGATTCCATTGACCCATCTGATTTAAGATAAGCTCAAGCATTATAATCTGTTTCCTTCTCGCACCAATAATTAAAAAAAAAAAAAAGAGTAAAATTGTGTCTTTCAATAAACAATAATGGCATGAAACTTTGAAAAACATGGATAAGTTTGCCACGTGCACAACAATTAGTAGGCTCTTTTTTAGGATCCCCTGGAGAGGGTCTGAAAATGTTTTTTTCCCCTTACAAAACGCCAAAAAAGAGAGAATCAGTGAATATAAAAAAAGGTCTGAGCCAGGTGAGTTAGCTAAGATCTAGCTAGCTAGCTAGCTCAGGAGGGCTGTGCCTATGAGGGCACACTACTAAACAGTGCCTCGGCTTTGTCCTCTCTTGACCTCCACCCATGAAATCTTTGTCAAGTGAAGAAGGCAGGAGGTCACAAGATATCTTATCCTACATGCTGCTGCTAGTAGAGTGGTAGCTGTTGTAGCAGACAAATTGTGAGTGAATAAACTAAATTCAGGAATCTGAAACATCAACTGTTCATGCCTTGCTCTTGCTATTCTTCTTGTTGTGCAATCCTAGGATGCACGAAAGTTTCCAACTACTCCTTTCTCCGTCTCTTTTTTTTTTTTTTTACACTAATCTTTCTAATTATTAAGGGCCGGGGCAGTCTCCGGATTTAATCAATTTAGGGTAAGAAGGTTTTAGATTATTGGAGTGATATCCTAAAATTCTGATTAATTAAACATTCATGTTCATACTTTCTTGCCCATAAAATACAAATAAGTTATTAGAAGTCTTGATGCCTATAAAATATGCCCATAAAATACAAATAAGTTATTAAAAGTCTTGATACCTATAAAAAAGCTTTATTGATAAAAAAATTTAGATTATTGGGATGATATCTTCAAAATTTTGATGTTTAAATAATAATTAATCAAATATTTATATTTATATTTTCTTTTTCTTAGTCCAGAAAATATAAATATTAGTAAAAATTTTGATATTTATAAAATATTTTTTTTAGTGAGATTGAAGAACTATGTCATGATAAATTCAGTAATTTTAAATAAAAAAACTTTAAATTCTAAAAATATAAGTTTCTATTCTTACCTTGGATGATTTGATTTATGCTTTAAAATATAATAATTTATCAAACTTATATTGCTTTAAATTAATTTACATTTTAAATCTAAGTATATTAAATTTAATGCAGCTTGGGATTAGGTTCAAAAATATTTCGAACCCATGTTACCGTGTTGTCTTGGGTTTTCATAGATGTAAATATTAAATATTTGATGTTTTCCCTACAAAAATCATTTATCATGGACGGAAAATGAAGGCTGTAAAATTAAGTTAACTACCAAAAAACTAATTGAAGGCTGTAATTATACCAAGGCTTCTTTTAAAACAAAATCGTTTTGTGATTAAAAAAAATAAATAAATCTAAAATAAATCGGCTTCACGTATTAATATGTTTCGGGCAATGAGCAATCCTGCCCAAATCCCTAGATTCATGAATTTTTGAAACAAGTCGACTCCTCGATATCAAAACTCGGGCAGCGGGAAGACTGACCGAAGTACCCCTGAGCACTCGAGTGAGAGAATATAAATCCTTGATTTCTTTCGAATGGTTAACCCTCTCTCCCTCCCTCGGCCCCCTCCTCCAGTCTCTCTAGGGTTTACATTTGGGCTTTTACACCCTCTTAACACCGAGCCAGCTAGTATTTTCTTTCCAGTGGCCTGGTTTCTCAACATAGAGTCCTCGGTGTTACATAGAGTACAAGGTAAGTGTTTTTCTTTCCATTAACGATAGTTTGAATAAGTATATATAGATCATTTTCTAATACGAAGCAGTACCTGCTTTGGGTTTGTTTCTTCATTAAAACTAGGTTTTGCGAAATGATCTCTAGATGGTATCTTGTTGAAGAAAAACTCCATTTGGGTTTTGAAAGATTGAGCAAGGCAGTGATCTCCATATCTAGTGGGGTTCTTATGTTTAGAAGTAGCTAGCACAGTTGTAGTGATCTTGAAAAAGCTGTTTGAAAAGAGTTAACGGTAGAAGGATTTTTAGTCTGTTCTTGCCAGTTTTAAGTACTACCTGTTTCTTCTGTACTTCAACTCTATATCCCTCGCAGTTGTAATTTGCCACACACATCTAGATACCTGATACTCCTTGCTCTCGAATATGGCTCCAAATGGTAGAAAAAGAACAGGAGCAAAAACAACAAGAAGAACCCAGTATAAGAAGCGGGTTATGAAGCCCAAGAGCATTAAAGAAGCTTCAATAATTGAGGATTTGCCTTCTAACTCTTCCACCACCACCACCACAAGCTGCAATGGTTGTTCAAAGATTGATGGCTTAGATTTTGAGGGTGTTGATATCTCTGCAAGTGCATGCTCTACTCCAAAAGCTGAGAGGTTTCGGATACCAGAGATTCAAACATGTCCACCTGCACCGAGGAAGGAAAGGATAATATCAAATTGCTCTTTGCAAAGGAGACCGATTGCTTTCTTTGCTCCTCCGGATTTGGAGCTCTTCTTCTTCTATGCAATTCACGATGTATCAGTTTGAATGTTTGTTCATAGTATATGATCAAGATCATTTCAATAGTCTTAAGAGGTGATCCTTAATATTTATTACTTTCATGTAGTCTTAGCTAGTGCCTTTTAAATTTTATGGTTGAAGTATAGTGTGATAGTTTGAGATTTTTGATTGAGTGCTCTCAGGAGGCAGTTGTTAATTAGCTTTAGCCTTTTTATTCTGTTTGCTTGCTAATTTTAGCCTGGGTTTTCAATTTGCAGGGTACACTAATATACTAAATTTAGCTGGGGCTGTCCAACTAAATTTAGCCTTACGCATGCTGTTCCTTGAGTTTTTATATCTTTTTTAGGTGTATTGCTGACTTTTGGAGTTTGGAGAGTGCAAATCAATGGCTTGAATTAAGGTTCCTGAGTGTGAAATTATCAGTTTTTGTGTTTGGTCAACCTCTGAATGTAAAAGCACAAGTGACTCCTGCTTTTATGTTCAAATTAAGTCCCTCCCTGATCCACTCTACTTTTCCTCACGTTATTATTGCTAAGTGATCACTGTTAACAGACTAATGGGTCATAAATCAATCAACTGGTTGTCCAAACTACATGAAAAGAAGTCCATTCCACCACTTCAGTTGAATATTATGGTTCCCAGGCACACACTAATGTCTTTCTTGTTTGTTGCTGTGGGTTCCCCTAGGCCCCAACACTCCACTGATTATATTGACCACTACTGCTTGTCTAATGTAATTACCGATTACACTCAATTAATGGCTGCAGTCGTAATATACTTCAGGGTCCACCAAATTCATGACCATAGATACATCAATGCATCTTCACACTTGTTGGATCTGAAAAAGACTTGCACAAAAGGTATAATTCCCATATTCTACTTTTGGATCAGAACCCAGAGGAAGAATATGATTTTCAAGGGTAGATAGGGCTTCTTCACATGTAGGGTTGGTGATGGCAGTAAGAACTCTCAAATTCTCTTTGAGATTCCAGCAGCAAGGTAACTTTTTTGAGGGGAAGCAGCAAAAACACAGGGGAAGCTAGAGATTTAGACACTTGTTACAGAATGGGAACCCAAAAGTGAGTGAAGGGTGTTGTTTCTTTTACTATTGCAAGGGTGGGATAGTGTTGTCAGATTGTGGGTTGTCTGTGTGTCTCAGCTTAGCCCCGATCCGCAGGAGAATCCAATGAAGTAGACTCGTGCGGGTTGTGATGATTGTCATAGTAGAGAATCTCAAGAAATTTCTCTTTGTTTTTTCTTTTGTCTACTTTTTTATTCGCGACAAAATTGATGTGGCCACCTATGCATTTGCATTTATTATGGTTCCATTTTTAAACTTCAACTATTTCTTTTCATCATTTTTTTTTCCTGTTGATAAATTACAACGCCATCATGATGAAACTTGTGATCACAGATATATCAAATGGTAACAATTAATCACAAATATTCATAGAATTACAGCGAAGTCATTCCTTATGTATTGGAGCGTGAATTTAAGAGTCATTTCCAATATCCCCATCCTTACAATCCCATCCTTAATTATTGCTTTTATTTTTGCCCTTGTTATAGTGGCTTTGGAACTGTGACTTTGAAGGGAAGAATTTTAGCTGAAATCTAGATCAAATTATTATAGATAGCTCACGCTATCTTTCTACCAGGCTGATATTTACATATGGTTGTTTTTTTTTAAAAAAAATAAAGATTATGCCATTGCTTTTTTATTTTATTTTTAGATATCAGTAAGATCTTTTCTCTGTCGTGATATTAAGTAAACAGTACTGTTGAGATCTTTTATGTTGATGATATGTCGGTTTCAAAGTCATGGCCAAAATTAACCTTTTGTTCCAAAGTATATGTGTGTGTGCGCTCTTTCAGTTTTTTCACCAGTGCATATGCTCCATGGATAATCTTGGAGAAGGTACGTACGTGCGAGGGGTATCACTTGCCTTAAATCCATGATATGATGGGAGTATTAATAAAAAAAGATGCTAGTGGGTAGAGCTGTGGCATTGAACATAAGCAGATGTCGGAGCTTTTGGGGATAAATAATACAGAAGGAATATGTGAAAGGACGGTTCGCATTCATTCAATTAGAACCCCATCTTCTGTAAATGATAAGGTCCCTTTCCCTCAGAGAAACCTTTTTTCCAAATTAACGCGTTCCCTTCTTTGTTTGGCATGATGATACCTCCATGTTCATTCATATTCGATTTGGAATTGATCATGGGCATGCATGTTACCATGTGCACCAGTTATTTATATGAATGTCACCACAAGGTGGCTAGCAAGTATACATTGTAGCAAGTACATGATCTCTTTTTCCATGGACAATATCAAGCAAGTTTCATGGCTGGACTGCCCCTCACATTTCAAATGTCAGCGAAGCTTGTTTCCCAGTAATATTTGTACACAGTTAATGTGATCACTCATATATATGTGATGGATTAGAAGAGCAGCGGGATTCATTGTTTTTTGGACTACCGCTGAGACAAGCAGGCAAGGGAGGGACCAAGGATCCAAAAAAGGTCCCATCAACTGTTAATAATTTCTTTTGCCCATACTCTAGCTCAATTCTTTCCCTAATCTTCCTCTTGTTTTTCAGAAAGTGCTCCAATTTTTCCTTTCCATGATTGACCAGCACCTCGATCATTTGATGAGCACAATTATTGGGGAGAAATCACATATTAATTTACCTGGAGGGGGGAAAGGAAGTATCATAACTCTTAACAATCAATAACTACTCAACACCCTACAATATTTAACTACCCAGAGCACCCCAGCGATCGACCTGGAGAACTGTCATCAAACAAAAATAAGCGGTGAGTCTTTACATGCAGAACAGAGGCGTGGACGACAAGACAAGGACACAGCTTCAAGAACACAGTAACGTAGAAGGGAGAAGTGTGTGTAGAAGAAAGGGGTATTTTCCAAATCTTTTTCTTCTAATTTTAGATATTTTCAAAAATATTAAGGCTCATAAGAAATAAATGCATACGTGTGTGGGGGGAGATCGAGAGCATGGAAACATTGGAATGAGGAGTGACAAAATAGATTTGATTGAATCGTCCCTTTAAGCAGCCACTGTTAAAAGAGAGTAATTGACGTCCATGTCTCCCCTAAAGTAGGTCCAGTGATCGATGTTTTTATTAGAAAACAGGATTTTCACTGCTTTTACTTTTGATTAGTACCAAGGTTTATAACCTGTTCGCAGTGCTATGTTAATGTGTTCTTTCTAGAATCCGAGGTTGCCCCTTCCCTCTTCCACAGATAACAGAAAAGGATAATAATCTTCTTTAGCTTTTAGGTCAAACTAGCTAGTACCTCCTCAATTTTCTAGCTCCTTCCATTCCTCAACGTCAAATGTTCATGCGACTAAAGCCCCCTGTAACCAAATGTATCCTATTTTTTATTAAAACATATTTAAAATTATTTTTTTCTCATTTTAACATGTTAATATTAAAAATAAAATAATAGTACTTTAATTTATTTTTAAGTAAAAAAATTTTAAAAAAATAATTTCTATCATGCTATCAAATACCTTTAAATATCTAATAGCATATTATTGTCTAAACTATCCAAATTAAACTTATATATTATGATTAATTTATTTGTTAAGGTTTTGGTCAGATGGTTTACTGAGATATGCTCTCTTTTTTTTTTAATTTCTTGAGTTCAAATTCTGTAATTTATTCCTTTGAATATACCAAAATAATAAAGAAGATACATTATTAAGATTGTTCAGAGAGAAATTTTCATTTTTTTTTTTTAGATTAACATGGATGTCCGGACCAGTTTGGGCATACCACGACTAATCCCACGGGTCCTGAAATTAACGACCATGTAAACCTCCAGTGGCCATCATATGAGCAACCAAGGACTCGAACTTGAGACTACAGAGAAAACAAACTCCTTAGTCTCAAGTCTTTATCACTTGACCACCACCTAGATGGTTGAAAATTTTTTATTTTGGTTAAAGTACATGTTGATATGAAGATATCTCTTATTGTCAAATAAAATAAATTATTTAATTTAAAATTTAAATCCTGGTTTTCATGATAAAAAATATTAAATATTTTTGTAAAACAAATCTTAAGATGTATGGTTCATCTCATAATAAAATTACAATTTTAACTCAAGAAAACCCACTGGTACAAGAAAATATACCATTGAAGAGACTAATTCAGAAGAGATCTTTGTATTTTCTTTAATTTAATTGTAAAAAAGTATATTTTTTTTTCAAACGGTTTTAAATGAACCTTTTATATCAATTTAATATATGCAAGGAAAATGATTTCTTTTAAAAAAAATACTAATTTTGATTTTGAATTTTTTTTTTTAAAAAAGGGTAAACAATAAACATTCATTGAACTTCTCTAGGAAGAATCCTATGTACTAAGAGATTCGTCAAATATTAATAGTTCTTTGTGTTCAGTTTAGGCCCACGGAATCCATGGCCGGTGAGTGGGTCGAGCTTTTATAAAACTATAATGGTTTTTATAGCTTAATTACATTGAGCACAGAATACGAGAATGATAACCTAAAATTCATGTCGCTATACACACCATGTGGGAGACTCGGAGTTTTTTAAATATAAAAAAAATACACAAGGTTTAGCAAAATTTTAGTATTATTATTAAATCTAAAAATAAAATTGTTCTAAAGTTTTTTTATCAAAATAAATCTTTTTATAAATATATCTCTTATTTTTCTTAACCACCACAATATTTTTAATTGAAATTAGTATTTCTATTTAAAAAATATATTTTATAATTGTTAAAGCAAGCTAATAAAAAACATCACATCCATATCTTGTGTGATCAAAAATTAAAAAATTATTAATGTGATAAAATTACGTTGGAAATCTACTTATTTTTTTAATAATAAAAACCAAATTTCAATTGAATTTTCATCAGTAATTTATTTTTTTATTATTATTATGCCCCTCTTATTTTCAGTGATTTGTCTCTTATTTTCCCTTGACACCTGTTTTTTTTTTTTTATCGTGTTATTCTTCGTTTTTCTGGGTT